AAAAAAATGTTTCATAGACGTATTAGAGTCCTATTGTTATGATTTTTTTTGTAAACCATAAATATTGAAAATTTCATATTTAATAGTTCAAATACACATGTATCGTCAATTTTTAGCTGCTTGTCTGCCAGAAAATCTTTCCAACCTACACTAAGCCGGCACATTATACCATTTCCTCTTGAATTAACGGTGATATCCCAATAGTGAAGTAAAGAGTCGAGGATTCGAACATTTTGCACGTCTTGACAAATGGTGTTTCGCAAACCTTCCTGGTATAGACTAGAAAACACGGATTAATGATTTACTAATATTAAGAATTATGTGGAATAGGTATATACAACATGACGTATTAAAAATAACACCTACAAATTATCGATGGTTGCTATGATTCAGCGTTAGTTTTACTTCAAATGCAGGATTATCCACATTTAAATTGTCGTCGTCTACTTCATAATAGGAGCCATATATAATCTCTGCTCTAGAATAATCAAATATCCTCATATTCAACATTGAATTTCCATTAGATTCAAATACTACAACATAACCATCATGTAAGTTATGATGGTCGAAAAATTCTTCCCATCCATTAGCCAGATATATTTCTCCGTCAATTCTTTCTAATTGTACTGTGACGATTATACCATCATATGCAGTTAATCGTAGTGTGTTACCTAATTCTGATTCCCAGTAATTGATAAAAGATGTAGGAAGCATCCACAAATGCGAAAAAAAATATAAGTTGTACATTAATATTAATAAAAGATTTTAAAAAATCTAGAAAAAGAAATATTATATAACTTACAAAAAGAATGTTATGATTTAGTGAAACATCGATGATTTTGGAGAAACTATGTGGCACATCCATTTTTGTGTCTGCTAAATTTAGAAAGAATTACATACATCATATGATTTAAAACACAATTAAATATTGGAAATTAGACATTATGTAAAACTAAAAATCTATCTAAAAATGTAAGAAAAAAGAATAGATAACATCTAAATTTTTGAGCAAAGCTAGTGTAAGTGGTAGGTGAAAACATTTAATTTTTTTTTTTTTTTTGTGAGAACAAATGGTATGCCAAGGTATTTAAGCTAAAGAAATGTACGTTGCTTTTTTCAATGATTTGACTAAAGGTTCACATGTAGAATAGACAAAGTATTCCCGCAGTTGTAGAAATAAACATAATGTGTGCCAGTGGTTTTGATACCTTCTTACATGATTCTTGTGACTCTGTAAGATTTGTAATGTTTTGCAAGATTTTGTGGGAACAAAATATAAAAGAAAGAGATAATATTTTTTTTGTTTCTTGTACTAATCTTTAACCAAAACAATATATATTTTATTTAAAATTTCATATAACTCAAAATATTGTTGATAGTATTTAGAGAAAAAAATGGAGATGCGGGGTATACCCCTCATAAATTGTGCGAGTGATGTCGTATCCCGCACATTTTTGGGTGTGCGGGGCTACCCCGCATAATTATGTGCGGGTACCTGTGCAGGCATCTCTCGGACAAATTGTGAGAGGTAGCCCCGCACAAATGTGCGGGTGTGCGGGACTACCCCCGCACAGTACCCACATATTTTTGTGCGGGGCTACTCCCGCACAATTTGTGCGGCAGTGTGCGGTGTAGTACCACACATTCTCCGTGGTGTAAATGGGAAAATAGATATCTTTGCACAGCAAGTCAGCACCAAATTCACAAATTCTTGTGAAAGTTGAAAATGAGAGTCTCTTACATTTTGTTAATACTCGAGTGTGGAAGAAAGAAAAATTTTCTTACAATTGTGCGGGTGTGGAGACACCACACAAGAAAAAATTCTTACAATTGTGCAGATGCGGAGACACCATACATTTTCATATATATATATATGTGTGTGTGTGTGTGTGTGTGTGTGTGGGGTTTTATATTTCTTTTGTTGTTAATGATATAGTTTAATGATAGTTTCACAACTATACTAATTTTCAATTTTATGATTAGTTTTCATTAAGCATTATTGTTTTGGTAGTTGTTTATCAACATGAATTTCAACTTACCATCTTAAAACTTATTAGCTTTGACAACTAAATATAAGGAATCATGTCACTTACAAAATAAATTTCTATAGGTATAGATTTACTTGGATGAAAATAAATCTAAATAGAAGACAAAAATAAATACAAGATTTATCAACAAAGCTTGCAACAATAATTGATGTTATCTAGCACCCATAAAGCAAACCAAACACCCTGATGGATATATCATTTCTAACCTAAATAGTTTAAACATGACATGATTTAAAAGGAGAGAATATTTGTTGCCAAAAACTTCGCGAATATCTCAATCATCAACCATTCATTTTTTTTTCTTTTAGTGCAGAAGAACTTGTGTCATTTATGTCTTCATCACAAGTTATCTTTAAATCTGAAGACTTGAAAGCTTGGTTTAACTCAGGTAACTAATCTTTGAAAAGAGTGTGCACCAATAATTTTCCTATGCACCAACATTTCCTTGACTTTCTTCTCATAAATTTGAATGTCCATATGCTATATAAATTAAATTGATATAGATACTCTGAAAAAAAATGTTTTGAAGTAGAATGTCATTTATATTTTGAATAACAACTTCAAAATGCTAGTCACATTAGAATTCTTACAAAAGTGATCCACTCCATTCCATTCGTCGACTTCTAGAAGTGCTACCTTCATATTCTGTAAAGGAATATTAGATAGTATATTTCTGTAAAAAAATAATTCCAGAATCAAAAAGACAAATACTCTAAAATCAATATTCTATCATAAACATTAGCTGTTGGATTGAATTCTATGTGTACCTTCTTCTTATGTTAAAATTGATTTTAAGCTCCTTCAGAACAGTTAACTATCATGAATCAAGTTCAAAATTTCATTATAAACAATATCTTTTGTACAACAACTATGTGATTTATTTTTGCTAAAAGGTTTGATTAAAACTTTTATATCTTTTCTTGTCCTAGTTCGGGATAATGCAACATACAATTGACCATCGAAAAATACATCTTCCGGAAGATATAAGCCAACAAAATATAGAGTTTGACCTTGAGCTTTGTTAATAGTCATTGTAAAATAAGGACAAAGTGGAAATTGAGTTCTTTTGAACGGTATTGATTGTTTATCACCTTCAAGTGGAATAAATGGAATTCTAGGATAAAAAAACTTGCTTTCCCTTATATTCTCCTATTCCAATTTCAGCCAAAATCACATTTTATCTAAATTCACGATAAATCAGTCTTGTTCTATTACATAAACCTTCTGCATGATTAATATTTCTAAACAACATAACTGGAAATTTCGTTTCAACACAAGTTCATGTGGAGGAATACCATTCGGAGTTAGACTATTTAAAAAATCTTCATGAATAAATCATTCGCTTTTATCAATTACTTCATCAAAACTAAAATAAGTAAACTTCTCTCCTGGAATTTCTTTTAGCAATATGTTGTTTACTAAATTAACATATTCATTTTTTGGGGTTAAAATAACTCTATTCATCATAATATTTAGATTGTCTCCATATGTTTGGAAATTGGGAAATACAATGTTAATTAATTCCTTGAGTGATCTAAACTCATCTTCAAACTTGATGGTGATATCTTGAGGAAGCAAAATCATCTGGCATGAATGTTCTTTCTCAATTCCATTCCCAATTTTCAGCAAATATTCAGAAAACGAAGGATTTAATTTAGCTCTCATATTTTGAATCAATGGTAGTTGTGTGGTAGAAGGCGCAAATGTAAAAAAACTAAACTTGCCTTCATTGTATCCTCTTTCATTCCTCTCTGTACTACTGGTAAAACTTGACGAAAATCTCATCCACACACAATGACTTTTCCACCTAACAATATTGGACATTCAGTAATATCTTTTAACATTTTATCCTAAATTTCAAAAGCATATTTATGAACCATTGGCACCTCATCCCATATAATTAGTTTAGAAATTGACAAAAGTTTACCAAGTGCAGATTGTTTACTCATCGAACAGCACATAAGAACTTATTTGAAGTGGAATTTTGAATCGTGAATGTCCTGTCCAACCAGTCGGTAATAAAGACGCAACTACACCAGATGATGCTGTTGTTAATGCAATAAGATTTCGTGATCTTACAGCAGCAAGTAACGCCTTGTATAAGTATGTTTTTCTAGTGTCACATAGGCCATCAATAAAAAACATTTCATTATTATCGTTCAAAACACAATCCAAAATTATATCATACGCATTCGGTTACTCTTTATTTAGACTTTTAGCATAATTTATGTCTGACTCAACATTAATATTTGTCGTTTCTTCAGCAATCATGGAAAGCTATCATCATCAGTCACATTCAAATCGAAATCTACCAAGCCAAAATCAGTCACATTTTTACCAACACCTTTCAAGAAAGAATTTATACAATGCAAAGCTCTCATCTCAGCACTCTGTTGTGATATACCATTATGTAAATAATTTTCCATCATAAAATCCTTAAATTTATCCCATAAATTTCTTGGATTTGTAGGACAACACAGAGTCAACACATTATCAAATAATCGACGCAATAATATGGGCATTTGGTAAACAACTGCTTCAGTTAAACAACTCTCAGAATAGTTATTTCCACTAAGAAGACCATATAAAACCGCTACCTCACAATAAGTAGATAAAATGACATCATTGACAGTTCTTAAATCTTCAAAAGATTTTGACCCTTTAATATGATTTAATAAAACTCTCAAAAAATATCGTTCACCCTCGGATAGATTAGCAGTGACTATTCTACCTATAACATTTTTCTTTTTTCTAGGAGTCCAAATTCGCATAGATGCATTCTAGATAAAATATGTGGGGAATTTTTTGTACAGGAGATTTCTTACCTTTTAATCTGAAATATTCATCTTAAAGAATTCAGTTAACTTTGTTCGATGAATAAACTCTCTATTTATAATTTTTGATAAATCATCACTTTCTTTATATGTAACCATTTGAGTATCTTCAGTATGCAACTGTAGATAAATCACTGCAGGAGACATATTAAATAAATCAAAACTAAATATCCTCCATATAGCTTCAGGTGGGGAAATCCATCTAGCCGTTTGGTAGTTTGTAATTTCATCAATAAAGTATTAATTTGTTTCTTTATTCACAGTAAAATGGATACGGTCGTGCCCCTTGTATACATACTTGTATAGATATTTAACAGCTTTAACAGAATAGCATACCTCTACGTTAATATGGCAATTGTATTTAGCTAGAATATAAGGATTGTATGGCACAACCCGTCTATTGTCCAACATACAGCCTCTTACTTTAACAATTACACCATCATTACGATGTTTATAATGCGAGTAGGAATCATTACCTAATGAAGTGTATTGGACAAATTCTCTTAGGTATTTATTTTTACATATATCATTTTTCTACATGCAAACATTCTTTGGATTCAATTCTCCACAAGAACCGTGCATCATATGTTTTACAACAGATGAATGTAAATAAGGGTGTTTATTTTTGTCTGGTATTTCACACGAAACCATTTCATCAACTTGTAAAGAATTTCTAATCTTAAAATTTGGTTTAAATATTAGAAGAAAATGAGCATGAGGCAATCCTCTCTTTTGGAATTCAATGACATAAACATATGCAACTATAGGAGCCAACAACTTTCTCTTAACCAAATCTGTCTTTAGTTCTTCAAACCTCGCCCGAAATATTCACACCAACAAATCTTGCCTATTTTGTATTTCATCATTGTGTCTCAATTCACGTTTTAATTTCAGGCCAATTTGGATTACATGTCATCGTCAAAAACACATCAGGTTTCCCATACCTTTGAATTAAAGGCATCGCATCCATATATCTTTTTCTCATATTTCTAGGACCCCCAATAAAACCAGCAGGCAACACCAATGATCTACCAATTTTGTAACCTCTATTCTCACCATTTTGAATGCTATCTACAATTTCCTAATATACTTCTACTCTTATAACTTTTTGGTTATTGCGAAAATAGTCCAATCTTGATATTTCAATTTTAACATACATATCCACTACATATTGCTGTAAAAGTCTGTCTGTATGTAAAAGAAGAGAATTGTTTCCAGACCTGATTTGGAGCTTGTAGCAATAATATTTTCGACAAGATATTGTCATCAGTTTCCTCCTTGTTTTCAAAACTGCAAAAAATAAACACATATATCAACGAAACTTATTCATCATCTATTATCAATAATAAGATAAATACATTTAGTCAATAAAACGTGAATTATTATGAGTAATAAATTTTACCATCATTTTCTATTTCCAAGAGCTCCTCAGCTGAGTGGAAATTATTAATTTCTATTAAATTTTGACAAACTCGAGGTCGGGATACATTCACATTTACCTTCTCAATACCTTTATGTCATCCAGGTTCTCCATAAGAAAAAAGTAATGAATATTGAAATGGATCATAACAACCATAATAATATTGAATTTTATACACACTACCCGAATGTCCATAAATTAATAAATCTCGACCCCGAGCATTTTCAGATGGGCCATCATCAACCCAAACTACAGCCACCTATTGTGATGTTGGCAAATTATATGTTCTCTGATCAAGACCTAGATCACACCTCAGTAAAATTCGACAGGATTCTAGATCAGTAACTTCACTAAACAATCTGAAAAAGTTTGAATACAGATTTTTGTTTAAAATGTCCATCAACTTTCTCAAAGTCAATTCACAAAACCTGTCTGAAGTATTAAGTTTATTACCAATTTCATTGTCACTATCATAGAAGTATAGTTGTAAATATATTGGATGACAATCTAACAGTACAAGAGAGTTTATAAAATGGTATATTTGTTCCTGAATTCTGAAAATATATATACCTTTATTATTTTTACACAGTTCTCTGTCATACTTAACATCAAATGAAGTGAATGCAAAATGATTGTTATAACTGTGAACAACTTTCTGAAAAGCAATAACCTCTTCAGATGTAGATGTAAATAAATAAAATAGTTCAAGAGGCATATTATGTAACTACAATTTGACCTTTCCATCATAACAACAAAAGTCCTTGCTTTCTATGCAGAATTTTTTTGCACCACAATGTTTACAAGTTCTAGGACATGGCAAGACAAAAAATTCAACAGGGATATTTTCCCTATCAATTTGTCCTGCACACTCAACACTAACATCAACATCCGACTGACATTCAACATGAATATCTTCAGAATTTTTATTTAGCTTTTCACTAACACAATTTTCATCAATAGCTACATCAATAGTTTGACCCTTCTGTAAATCAATTTGAGATTCAAGCTGATCATTATCATCACCTAAAAGAAAGAAAGAATAAGAAAACATTTTCAAAATAAATTTTGCAAGAAAAATATTTATAAAGCTGAAGGGTATTATAATCTATCGTTAAATACAAACCTGTTAAACTAAAGTTTCTCACACGTCGATGAGGTTGCACTTCATAGTTGTTATTGGACTGCTTTCGTTTTCTTTTTCTTTGTTTTCTTTCTCTTTCTAACTGAGTAGGTCTATTCTTAAACCATTCACTAATTTTTTTTTTCAGAAATATGACTATGTGAGGATAGGTAGGAAGCTATTTGTACAATTCTATATTGATTAGACTTTCATTTCCTCCATCAAATATGGTTTGAAAAATATCAAGCTGCGTAGATATAGGTACCCAACATTGTCTTCCCATAATTAAATTACCTAGCAATCCATAACTGAATTTTGTTACAATTAAGATGTTGGAAACATGTAACATACAAACTGTGAAAATAAAGAAGAATGTAATAAATTAAACAGAATCCATAAAAATTATCCGTGGAAGGAATTCCAGAATATCGATGGGGATGGGGTGCAAGAGCAGTACCAAGAGAGTCTTAAGTCGTGAAATCGGGTAATAAAAAGATGGAATTGTCAGACAGCCAACAGCCAACACAAATCACTAGATAATCATATATAATAAAAGAGAACGAAAAAAATTAAAATTTATAATGATAAAATTAATCTACATTAACCACGGCACAAAATAATGTAGACTTTGGACTGGGTTAAATAATATTGGCAAAATGTATTTCATTCTCTTCCCCTACTTTGTGCAGAGAAATTCCAAATTTGAATTAATACACGAGAAAACTTTACTAAACAGGCTAAAAATTTAATTAACTCAAAATAACGATCTAAATAATATCCAAAAGTAACTTATTTCCATACTTCGCGATTTATGCCAAGATTGCTGATGTATGAGATACATAAGAGAAATAAATGAATTAACAAGTTAATAAGCATTTTAATTTTCATTCAACCGAACATACGTCTCTATTCACACAAAAACCCAAAATTGTCAATCGAATAAACAAAATTATAATTATCAGATAAAATCGATAATATATCTCTCTAGAATCTTGAATAAACAAAATCATAATCCATGCCAAGATTTACTAGAATTTTGCACGAAGAGATTAATCACAGAAAGTATTCACTCGAAATCAAAAATTTTGCACATACAATCTTGAATAAACAAAATAGAGAAAAACGGCATGTCAAAGATTTACCTCTCTATTCATGAGAATTTTGCACGAAGATTAATCACAAAAAAAAAGGAGAGAAGAATTGAAGAAGAAGTGAGAGAAGAAATTGTCAGGATTTATGTGGGGATATGGAGAAGTGAGAAGAAAATGGAAGAAATGAGTATGACTGATATCTACAGTGAAATGGGTATGGCTTCACTGGTTTACTTACAGTAGAACTCCAAACACTATTGCAACTATAGTCAATTTTATTGATCTTTCTATAAGTAGTTAGAAAGCCCTTGAAGACATGTTATGTTTCCTAATTAAACTGGTGTTCAAAATTTTAAATTATGATATTTTTCTATATAGATCACGATGCAATCTCCGAAAAAGTTGGACGATTTACATCTTTCAGACATTTTTCTCTTTCGTCACCCAAATTAGTTTTCTTCATGGTAAAGTAGAAAGAATAAAGTGTGTGTTTGGCTTGGTACAGCTGTACCGTTGGATCCCCCACTTTCTCAACGCGTAAATTCATGTTAATGAAATGAATTTGAACCATTTGAGCTTGTATAAATACCTTCCTCCCCACTGAAAGAAATGATAAGAAGGGCTTGGTAAATCATACCAAAGCCATATGTTTACTACATATTTATAGGAGCAATATTTATAGATTTGAAACATTCACATCCTCTAATGTAGCAAAATTACAGTAAATAATTCCTACAGATAATCCTATTGCCATGCTGGACATATGGCAGATTTGGAGCCTTCATCATTGCTAATATCAATCAACATTGCTGGTACTTTTATGAGAATTGGGAACAGGAATGGAAGGTTACTGTCTAACACCCCCCCTCCCCGCAAGCCAATGGGGAGGTCACAAACCATGAGCTTGTCCTTTAACAGTTGAAATCGGGAGGATGTTAATCCTTTTGTGAAAATGTCACCCACTTGATCCACTGAAGAGATGTACTGAATGCAAACATCACCATTTACCACCTTTTCTCTAATGAAATGAAAATCCTCCTCAATATGTTTTGTACGAGCATGATAAACGGGATTGGCAGCGAGTGCAATGGCACTTTGATTATCACACCAAATGGTTGGAGGTGAAGTAAGTGGAATGTTCAAGTCTTTTAGTAACATGCGAATCCAATAAAGTTCAGCAACCACCATCGCAAGAGCTCGATATTCAGTTTCCGTACTAGATCGAGCTACAACACTCTGCTTCTTAGCACACCACGATATTAAGCAAGGGCCAAAGAAAATACCATAGCCGGTAGTAGACCTTCGA